AGAACACGGAGTACAAATGCTGTGTCACCTAGCTGACCTTGATGTCTTCTCAAGGGTGAGAGGTGTCACCCAGGAGACCTTGGGCTCACAGGCATGGACTACAGTAGAAAAGGAAGTCTGTCTCTCCGCAGAGGGGCCACCACCTTAAAAGCAGCAACACAATAATTGCTTGCTGGTCTCTTTCTGAAATAACACCACAGAAACCAGTCAGATTCTTCTGCTTTCTATTGGTCACAGCCACTCTGAGACACTCTCTGTGAGGATGCTCTCAGAGACGGATACTGCCAGTCAACCCAAATGTGGTCAGAGTCTGCAGAGGGAGGACCTCTGCATCCTTCGCCCTGGGCAATGCTGCTCAGCAAACATTTGCTCTGATGGCAATGGTTTCAGGTGTATGGTTAGAGCAGAGAGATCACTCTCCAGCTGGGGCAGGACCCTTCGTCTACCATGTTTACCATGTGGAAGGCACTCTGTTCACTGCCCAGCAAGACAGATAAATCACTTTTTGGGCAAATGCCCAAATGTCCCTGAGGTGAATGACTTAGGCAGAAAGATGATAACAGGGCCCCAAATAATGAAGTGCCCTTTGTCTCTGGTTTCTATAACATCACATTCCATTAAGCTGGTGTGGCACATGCCTGTTACCTCAGCAAAAGAGGGGGCTAAAGCAAGAGATCTTGGGTCTGAAGATGCCACTAAGAAAAAAAAAAAAAAAAAAAAAAAAAAAAAAAAGATGGGACACTGGAGAGAAAACAGGATGGAAAGAGGAAGTTAGCACTAAGAGCTGATGAGATGGACAAACACTCATTTAAATCATCCTCCAGAGCAAGACTGGCAGAGCATCCCAACAGGCCCTCTGCGTCCCACTAAAACCACACACTTCCCTTTTCCTTGCCCATACATGCATGTATGTAGTGAGATATCCACCCTGCCCACGCCCACACCTGCCCATGCCCACACCTGCCCATGCCCATTGGGGCTTGGGGACAGGTGGGGGCCGGGTAGATATCTCAGATATCCAGTGGTAAATAAGACTCTGGGGAATGCATGTAAGAGAGAGAGAAGAGGAAGCACAGGAGCCAAAAATGATGACTATGCAATGCACCCACATTTTCACAAGGGAACCGAAAAGGCTTCTGAAACTGGAAGATGTAATTATAAGGATAGACAGCAACACAGAGCTGGGTGTGACAGCATCGTCCTACGAGAGCCCAATGACCCTTGCTGGAATTTCAAGGCCAGCAAGGGCCCTCTCTCTACAGTAGGGACAAGGGGAGTCAGCAGTTAAAAGCACTGGTTGCTCTTCCAGAGGACCTGGGTTCGATTCTTGCACCCACAGGGCAGTTCACAACTATAACTCCAGTTCCAGTCCCAGATCCCAAACTGCTTTTGGTCTCCACCAGAACCAGGCAGGCAAGTGGTATAGACACATATGGATGCAACACATCCATGCACAGCAAATATTGTTTTACAAAAGCAACTTTGTAAAAATAGCAACACATTCTTAAAAAATAAAAATATTAAAAAAAAAAAAAAAAAAAAGAAAACTCCCCAACAAGACATAAAAGATCATCTTAAAGAGAAATATTAGCTGAGTGGTGGCAGGGCACACCTTCGATCCCAAGAGTAGGGAGGCAGAGGCAGGTGGATCTCTGAGTTCCAGGACAGCCAGGGCTACACAGAGAAACTCCATTTTGAAAAAAAAAGAAAACACTAATAAATATATAACAGAGACCAGTAAATGCCATAAATCCCCAGAAACGCCCCCGTTTAGTCAATCCTAGCGCTCCTCCCTTATTTTACAATTAATGGTAATGTTTGGGGGGTTTTTCCTAATTTTTTACTACTAGGTGAAACACACTGGCAACACAGTCTACACGAATGCAAAATAAGCAATCTACAGCAAGTGATAAGGAATTGGGCAAAAAAGGAATAATGCAAGTTTTTCTTGGTGGCACATTAAATTCTGATGTTCGTTACAGTCAGCAACCAAGATATGGGAGTATATGCTCACAGAGGGCCTAACACCACGGTCACTGCCAGGACCAGATTCCAGCCTCCTCCTCTAACTTAAACTGATCTCCCTGTCACAGGGCGTTCAAATGGTTAATATTTCATCAGAGCAGCAGGCTTGGCCCACAGGAAGGACTATGTTCCAGGTCTCTGTGACCTCACTTAAGTCTGGCTGCACAGTGAGCACCCACACAGGCTATGAAACACCCGTATGTGTCACCACTTACAGAACAAAACAGCAACCCTTCTCTTTAATGTTGCTTCGAGAAGGTATAAAATGTTAGCACTTTTCAAGTTTGTAAATCCATCTTAGTCCATCCTGTAACTCTTCCCTAGGATCTATTATTGTACTTCAAAATCCCATGAATTACACACTTTCGAAACAAGAGCAAATGTTTGGAAGCTGGTGAGTATTCTGATTTGAACTGCCAAACTAAACACAAAAAAAGCTAAAATGCAGCTCAGACTGTCTGAAACTGGACAGATACATAAGGATGATCTACCTCCAGGTCCCATGTGCTAGGATTATAGGCACACATCATCATGTTTCTGATTAGTGAGATTGAGTGGAGTCCTGAGGAAGTCTTAAGGGCAAAGCAACCCATTTCAACATGACAGTAATGACCAAATAAGTCACACTGTACCCATGCAAAGGAAGGAGGAATAACCATTGCCACATAAGGGCTTCTGATCATTTGTATCAGCTCTTGAAAACATTATTAATGAAATTTCATCTCTTCAAGTCAGGCAGGGTGGCTCACACCTATAACCCAGCACTTAGGAGACTGAGGCAGGAGGGGTACGTGGAACTGGAGGCTAGCCTGGGCTACATAATGAATTCCAGGCCAACCTATCTCAAAAAAACAAAACAGAACTTTCTGTTCTTGCTCAGGTGCTCTAGATTTAACATAGGGCCTGGGGAGTAACAAGCAAAAGTGAGCTATACTTCTGGTTCAAATTTTTATTTCACTAAAAAAAAAAAAAAAAAGTTGTTTACATACATGAATGCTCCGTTTGCAAGTGTGCCTGCACACCAGAAGAGGGCATCAGGTCCCATTACAGATGGCTGTGAGCCACCATATGGTTGCTGGGAATTGAACTTAGGACTCTGGAAGAGCAGCCAGTGCTCTGAACAGCTGAGTCATCTCTCCAGCCCCCTTTATTTCATTATTTATTTATTTATTTTTATTGGTAATGCTAGGGATTGAACCTAGGAAATTAACTGTGCATGCTGGGCAAGGCTCTACCGTTGAGGTCTACTCCAGCCTCCCAGTTTTATCTTTACTGATGAACACCCCGAAGAAAAGGAGAGGCATGTAGCACAGGATCTGCGCTAGAATGCCCATTAAGGCTAAGGGGGGAGGGGCTCCATGCGTAACTGAGAAGCAGAGTGTAGCGGAGCGAGTGAGAAAAGGACACTTCCCCAGCAACAGGACTGAGGCAGGTTCTGTGCCCTGAGCAACCATTAACGACCGATACTCACATTCAACAATGCAGGGTTCTTAGAATATGAGATTCATTCTGAGACCTGACAATGTTGTCCCATTATCTTACACTCAAGATACACATCATATGACAAATGTGCTGCTATTCCAAGATATTTAATCGCGTGCTCTCCTAACTACAACAGTTCTCAGAAAAGCAGGGTGCCTTTTTCTTCCCTTGTCTTCAGTGCTGACAATCAAACCCAGGGCCTTGTGAATGCGAGACAACCTGTGTCCCACTGAGCCACACCCCTTACAAAGTGCAAGTTCATTTTGCATTTAAATAACTCTCATTGGGATGTTTGGAACAAAACAATTTTTCATTACTATTTGTTTATTCTTTCTTTCTTTCGAGACAGGGTTTCTCTGTATAACAGCCCTGGCAGTCCTGGAACTGGCTCTGTAAATCAGCCTGCCTCTGCCTCCTGAGCGCTGGAATTAAAGGTGTGCGCCACCATGGCCCAGGCACAAAAGAAGGTTTTAAATTAATTTTAAATTGAATTCGTGTGTGTGTGTATGTGTGTGTGTGTGTACATGTGTGGAGTGGCACACAACAGTCACCTCTAGTAAACAGAGGTCAGAGGGACAATCTGTGACTCTGTAATGTGGGTCCTGTGAATTGAACTCTGATCATTAGGCTGGGTGGCCTTTGGCCGCTGAGTAACCACCTCAGGAACCCTTAAACTTAAAAAAAAAAAAAAAAAAGATACAAAACTGAGCATATTCATTCATTATTAGCATTTTACAAACACACCATACTATCCCACTAAAGAACTTAGAAGCAAAAGTAATATTATTTTTTCACGCATAAAACTGAATGATGATGAAACGTTCAATTTGAGCCTTCAAATACTGTGCAAGATAAACAGGCCTCCCCAGACGGTAGCTGCTGTGCTAAGGTACACCTACTTCTTAAACCACATGATTTCTTCGGGGTCTGAGATGCCATACTCCCTCATCTTCTTCACCATAATGGCACTCTTCTTAACAGCCACCTCGTACCGCTGGCTCCGAGTGAGGAAGTTATAGTCTTCGTGCTGGAAGTCTGGGTCGTTCAGGATCATGTTCTCTGCGAGGGAGTTAAATGACATCAAGAGAAACAGCACTCGCCCTCCCTGAATCCCAGCAGATTAGAACCGAGGGCGGGACCCTCCTAACTGGGGGACCCCACTTCACAGGCGTCTGCCGCCTGGGTCGGGGGAACAGGGAGGCCTGGCCCTCTCCGGCCTCACCGATTTCTCGGCGGCGCCGGGTGTTCTCCGGACTGCCATCCAAGATGTGCGTGACCAGCTCCGGGTTGAAGGTGGCGGCGGCCCGCTCCTTGCGCAGGTCGGGGTTCATGGTGGAGGCCGGTGCCGGTGACAGACGAGGTGGCCACAGCAGTGACAGACAGCAAAGACCCGTGTCTGCAGCGACAGCGCAGAGCCGGCCCTAAGAGCTCTGCGGATCCGGCCCGAGGCCCCGCCCCGCCCGCTGCGCCCCGCCCCGCCCCGCCGCCTCCCCGCGTGACCGGCTGCGATCCCGCCCGCCGGACGGACGAATCCCCTGCTGCGAGCCAGGGGCGGTCCCTGAGCGGCTCCTCGCCAAGGAGACCGAGGTAGAAGGTCAGGAAAGCGCGGTGGAGCAGGAAGGGGACGGGGTGGGGGGACCGGGACGCGGGGGGACGCTTGCGGGCGTCGCTCCTCCAGGCTCACGTGGTGTCTCCTGGCGGAAAGGAGGAACCGTGAAGCCGGGAGATGCGCGCAACGGATTGGCCGGGGCCGTGAGGGGCGGGATTGCGCCTGCGCCGTGGGACTCACCTAGTTCCAGCTTTGAGGGTTCCCTCGCTAAACGCTCCCCGGAAACAAGAAGGGCACTGGGTGGCAAGGGCCTAGGGTGCGCCGAAGAGGCCAGTAGAGGAAAGAGGTTGGTTTTTCTGGGACCCACCCAAGTTGGAGCAAAAGGGGACTGGGATAAAGGTCACGTTCGGAGAAGGTTCATCACCGTCGGTGAAAAGTATTGGCTGCCAGGCATGGGTCTGACTCTTGCGAAGCTGCCCGGCCTAGGCAGTATCCATTGATTTAGAGTGAGAGCAAAGAGGACGTGTTTATCTATGTGTTATAATCCAAGATGTTTTCCTCCTAACCTGGCAGTGCCTAAAAATTTTGCAACCCAGACTTTTGTTTGTGTTATCATTATCATCGTCATCGAAGACGTAAATGTATACATGCCTAAGAGGCTCCAGTATACAACTTATGACAAAGAGTTCCTTAGCCTCAGAGACAGCTAGTTTTCACCAATTCGTTTTTTTTTTTTTTTTTTTTTTTTAGTTCTTATTCCTTAAAAAGTGCTAAATTGCCGGACATGGTGGCGCGTGCCTTTAATTCCAGCACTCGGGGAGAGTTCAAGGCCATCCAGTCTACAGTGTGAGTTCCAGGGCAGCCAGAGTTACACAGAGAAACCCTGTCTTGCAAAACCAAAACAAAGAAACAAAACACAAAAACAACAACATTAACAAACATGGGGCTGGAGAGATGACTCAGTAGTTAGGAATCCTGGCTGCCCTTCCAGAGGACTCTGGTTCGATTCCCAGCACCCACATGGCAGCTCACGACTGTCTGTAACTTTAAGACCTGACACCCTCACACAGACATACAAGTAGGCAAAGTACCAGTGCAAATGAGAGAGAGAGAGAGAATCAAGTGGGAAATGTGTGTTCTTTAAAGAAAGGGAAGAAGAAAGGGAGGAAAGGAAAGAGCAAACAGGAGATGCAGGTCAGGATGATGTCTGGCATGCACGAAGCCCAGGATTTGATCGCCAAGCATCACACAGGCTGGGCATCATGGCACAGGTGTGTAATCCCTCAACTGTGTAGAGTCTGGGGCAGCCTGGGCTGTGGTGACCTGTTTCAAAAGTCTTTTACGTGCTAAGTAAAGTGCACTCTCTTCGTTTGATTTACCAGTCTTTTGACCTGACGCCACAAGAGAGAACTACAGTTTGTTACTTCTGTAACTTGCCCTTGTAACAACATATTTAAGGCCCATTTACATTAATATTACCTCGAATGGACAAAATGAAGGGTTTGTTTTGAATGCAAAGTTTAAAGAATCTCTCCAAATTCAATATTTTAATACACTTTTTTTTTCTTGGTACAGGAGATGGACCTCTGAGCTACACCCCCAGCCTCACAATATTTATAAATTCAAAAGAGAAAATAAGCAAAATACTAACACTTTAAATAAAGACTCTATCATTGTTGCTGATTGTACCTTTGGCTCAGGCTCCAGTATGCAAGGCTCTGCTACTGGGGCTGTTTTCAAGAGCAGTCCTTAGGCACTGAGACATTATTTAGCTTGGTTATTGTGAATTGTAGTCCTCTTATCAAAAGATTGTATCCCAAATGCAAACAGCACAAGGTTATTGCTTAATGGGGTAAAGGGCAACTACATGACAAACCTTTAGTAGTGTCCCAGAAGTGACAATGGGAAATTTGACCTGGCCTGTTGACCTGGAGTCTCAGCTACTTGGGAGGCTGAGGCAGGAGGATCACAAATCCAAAGCCAACCTGAGTGGCAGAGAAGTGTTAATTTGGTTTAAGGTAGCTTTGTATGCCTGCCTTTCTTTCTGGCCATGTTTTGGATGTTGATTTACTGATTGCCAATCTTTTTTGTCCATTTTTCACCTTTTTAAAAATTTTACATACCAATCCCAGTTCCCCCTCCCTCTCCTCCTCCCACTTTTCCCCCCACCCTACCCCCCCCATCTGCTCCTCAGAGAGGGTAAAGCCTCCCATGGGGGAGTCAACGAAGTCTGTCCCATCACCATGTTAAGGTAGGACCAAGATCCTTACCCCTGTGTCCAGACTGAGCAAGGTGTCCCTCCATAGGAAATGGGTTCCAAAAAGCCAGTTCATGCACTAGGCAGAGTCCCTGGTCCTGCTGCCAATGACCCCACAGACTTCCCAAGCCATCTACTAGCACTTGCATTCAGGGGTCCTAATCCGGTCCTATGCAGGTTCCCCAGCTGACAGTTCAGAGTCAGGGAGCTCTGACTAACTGGGGTCTGCTGTTTCTATGGGTATCCCCATCATGGTCTTGATCCCTTTGCTCATTTATCGATTCTCCCTCTCTCAGACTGGACTCCAGGAGCTCGGCCTAGTGGTTAGCTGTGGATCTCTGCATCTGCTTCCATCAGTTACTGGATGGCGGCTCAATAAGACAATTATGATAGTTCCTCAATCAGTACAGGGGAAGGCCATTTCCACTACTGCTTAGAGTTTTATCTGGGGTCATCCTTGGGTATTCCAGGGAATTTCCCTAATGCCAGGTTTCTCCATAATCCCATAATGGCTCCATCAAGATAACTCTTTGTTCGCTCTCCCTCTCTGTTCTAACCCCAACCGGACCATCCAGTTCCCTCATGCTCTGCTCCACACTCCCGTCCCTCCTCCTCTCTCCCCTCCCTCCCGTGCTCCCAATTCACTCAGATCTTGTCTTTTTCCCCTTCCTAGGTGGATCCATCTGTTTCCTCTTTGTTATCTAGCTTTTCTGGGGTTGTAGATTTAGGCTGGTTATTCTTTGCTTTATGTCTAATATCCACTTATGACTACATACCATATACCGCCTTCAGGATTTTTTTTTCTAATTCCATCCATTTGCCTGCAAATCTCAAGATGTCATTGGGTTTGTTTGTTTGTTTTTTGTTTGTTTTTTTTTTTTTTTACCACTGAATAGTACTCCATTGTGTAAATGTACCACCTTTTTTAAAATCCAATCTAGGTACATCTAGGTTGTTTCCAGGTTCTGGCTATTATGAATAATGCTAATTTTCTTGTGGTATGATTGAGCATCCTTTGGGTATATGCCAAAAAGTGCTATTGCTGGGTCATGAGGTAGATTGATTCCTGATTTTCTGAGAAACCATTGTACTGATTTCCAAAACAGCTGTACAAGCTTGCATTCCCACCAGCAGTGGAGGAGTGTTCCTCTTACTCCACATCCTCTCCAACATCAGCTGTCATCAGAGGGTTTTTTATCTTAGCCATTCTGACAGGTGTAAGATGGTATCTCCAAGTTGTTTTGAGTTGCATTTCCTTGATGGCTAAGGATGTTGAGCAATTCCTTAAATGTCTTTGCAGCCATTTGAGATTGTCCTGTTGAGAGGTCTCTGTTTAGGTGTCCACCCCATTTTGAAATAGGATTGTTTGGTATTTTGATGTCTAGCTTCTTGAGTTCTTTGTATATTTTGGAGATCAGCCCTCTGTCAGATGTGGGGATGGTGAAGATCTTTTCCCATTGTGCAAGCTGCTGTTTTTTCGGGTTGACTGTGTCCTTTGCCTCTCAGTTTCAATAGATCCAATTTATTAATTGTCGATCTCAGTGTCTGTGCTACTGATGTTTCATTTCAAAAGCGGTCTCCTGTGTCAATGTGTCCCCACTACTTCCCACTTTGTCTTTTATGAGGTTCAGTGTGGTTGGATTTATGTGGAGGTCTTTGACTCATTTGGACATTACTGTAGCTCTATAGTAGAGCTTGAAGTCAGGGATGGTGAAGCCTTCAGAAGCTCCTTTATTGTACAGGGTTGTTTTGGCTATCCTGGGTTTTTTGTTTTTCCATATAAAGTTGAATATTGTTCTTTCAAGGTCTGTGAAGAATTGTGTTGGGATTTTGATGGGTATTGCATTGACTCTGTAGATTGTTTTTGGTAAGATTGCCATTTACTATGTTGATCCTAACTATCCAAGAGCATGGGAGTTTCCATTTTTCTGATGTCTTCTTCAATTTTGTTCTTGTCATACAGGTATTTTACTTATTTGGTTAGCACTATCCCAAGATATTTTGTGTTGTTTGTGGCTATTGTGAAGGGTGCTGTGAAGGGTGTTTCCCTGATTTCTTTCTCAGCCCATTTACCATCTGTATATAGGAGGGCTACTGACTTTTATTTTTAGTTAATCTTGTATCTTGCTACATTACTGAAGGTGTTTATAAGTTGTAGGAGTTCCCAAGTAGATTTTTGGAGTCACTTGTGTATACTCTCATATCATCAGCAAATAGCGAAAGTTTGACTTTTAAGGCAGCTCTTTCAACTGTGAGTCTTAGTACAGGTTTGGTGTGGTGGCTACTCCTTTAATCCCAGCACTCAGGAGGTAGAGGCAGGTGAATCTCTGTGAGTTCGAGGCCATCTTGGTCTATATAGTGATTTCCAAGCCAATCAAACTACATGGTGAGACCCTGTCTCAAAACAACAACACAGTTGGGACTGGCCAGGTAAGGGGATGCAGGTGACCTTAGAGAGCAGAGTGGCAGTGACATTGAAGCCGCTCACCTGGGTGCACAGTCAGCTAGAGATGCTGACGAAGGCGAAGGCAGGGTTCTGGCAGGGTTACATTCACGAGAATAGTAAGGTAGGCTTTAGCTCAGTGCCCAGCAAATATGGGGTGGGTGGTTTGATTTCCATCATCTTCGTGGATCTGTTCATCCATTCATATTTAATAGTGTCCCAGATACTTCTAGACACAAAGAACACAGTTATCAGGATCCCCGCCTCACGGGATGAAAAACTGTTTGAAAATCTGATTGTCTAGTAAACTTCAGTGAATGAAATAATCAGTGTGGAGGCGCAGGGAGAGCAGAGCCCTGGAGGATGCCATTTCAGAGGCAGAGGAGCAAGACTCTGCTCTCAAAGAGATGCGTGGAAATATCTGGACTAGGTGTGGAAAAGAAAAACTGTTCAATTGGCTCTCTGGATAAAGGTTCTTGCCTCCTGAAGATGCAAGCCTACAGGCCTGAGGTCAATCCCCAGAGCCCACATAAAGGTTTTGAAACAGGGGAACCAAGTGCACAAGACTGTCTTTTGACCTGCAGTGTGTGCCATGACATACACATGCCTGCACATGCACACACAATAGAGGCTGGTACATTCAAGATCAGCCTGGTCTGCTGCATGATGTTGCGGGTTGCAGGCCATGCAGGCCACCTAGAGCTACGCGGATTTTGTCTAAAACTAACCGAATAAAACCTGATTTGAGAAGCAGGAAAAGCTCAGCTACAGGCCCTGAGTTGATCGTGAGCCAGAGGAAGGGGGAAGGGTAAAGCTAGGCCACTGCCATCCAGTGTGGCACCATGGGCCAACCTAAGACTGAGTTCTGTTGGTCATAGTGAGGGGTTGCCTCTGACCATCGCGTGTGGATTTTCATTTTTGAACACTCAGGAGTCACAATGGGGGAATAAATAAGCAATTCCCCTTTCACCCAGATTCCCTAGTTAACATTTGTCACAGTTGCTTTACCCGTCACCTGCAGGGTCATCTCTGTTTACTCAATTCTTTCTTTTGGAGCTCTTTGAGGAGACTTTGTGGAAGTCATCCTTTACTTACCAATATTTTAGAATTTCCAAAAAATAACTGGGTGCTAGTGGCCCACGCCTTTAGCCTCAGCACTCGGGAGGCAGGGGCAGGCGGATCTCTGTGAGTTCGAGGCTAGCCTGGTCTACAGAGCTAGTTCCAGGACAGGCTCCACAGCTACAGAGGAGCCCTGTCTCGGAGTGGGGGTGTGAGATGGGAGGGTGGGGGAGGGGAAGAATTTCCAAAAAAATAAGGACATTTACAGGATGATTATGGTTAAGGTAATTGGGTCTACTACATTCCTTTCCATGGCTTTACTGTTGTCCATTACTGACCTTTACCAGAGGTTTTCCTCATCTGGAATCTAATCTAGCATCCCAAGCGGTATTATTATGTTACCTGCTGTTGGAATAGAATGTGGCAGAGTGACTTAAATAGCATTTACAGGCTCATCTCTGAAAGCAAGGAAGCTGAGATCTGGATGTCCAGAGAACTTCATATAGCAGTGCACACTAAATGCCAGCAGTTGGGAAGCTGGGCCAGGAGGAGGAGAATTAGAAGCCAGCCAGGGCCACAGAATGAAATCCAGTCAATAAAAGGAAATGTCCACAGGCTGGAGCGGTGCTCAGCAGGCAGTAACACTTGCTGCCCTTGCAGAGGTCCTGAGTTCAGTCCTCACCACCCATGTCAGGGGGCTCACAACTGCCTGAAACTGTCGTCCCAGGAGACTGGCCCTCTCTTCTAGCCTCCGGAGGCATGCACACCTACACATAAGTAAAGATAAAGGGCTAGAGAGAGAGCTCAGTCATTAAGAGCTCTCACTATTCTCGAAGAGGGCCCAGCACTGGGCTCACAGGCATCTGTGACTCCATAGGCAGCAAGCATACAAGTAAGTGGTGTACAGACATACATGCAAGCAAGACACCCATACGGACTTTAAAAAGAACTTTAAAGAGGAGTTCTGGGGAGGGTTACTTCCCATGTACGCAGGCCTGGGCATCACTCTTTCCAGCTGAGCTACACCCCAGCTGCTAGTTGTAGGCAGGGTTAGAGGCACAAGCCACCAAGGCTACCAGCCTGTAGCCAGTGACTGATTAGAACAGTCAGGCTCCGTTTTGTTTTTGCTTTGTCTGTGGCTTTTCTCAGATGGCAGGGGCTGGAGAGGGGGCTCAGCAGTTAAGAGCTCTGGCTGTTCTTCCAGAGGACCTGGGTTCAATTCCCAGCAGCCACATGGTGGCTCCCAGGTGTCATCAGATCCTTCGCCCTCTTCCAGCTTCCTCAGGCACTGCTCATATGTTGTGGACAGACATACATGCCGGCAAAACACACACACACACACACACACACACACACACGAGATAAACATGAGAAGCCAGGCAGTGGTGGCACATGCCTTTGATCCCAGCACTCAGGAAGCAGAGGCAGGAGGATCCCTTGAGTTCAAGGCCAGCCTGGTCTACAGAGCGAGTTCAGGACAGGCCCCAAAGCTACACAGAGAAACCCTGTCTCAAAAAATAAATAAATAAATAAAAATGAAATGGCTGACATGAGCAGCAACAGAGACCCTCCAGCCCACAGAGACGGAATACATATGGGCATCTTTCGGGGGGCATGTTTTGAGACAGGGTTTCTCCATGTAACCCTTCTGTCTTGGAACTTATTATGTAGACCAGGCTGGCCTCAAACTCAGAGAGTCATATGCCTTTGCCTGAGTACTGGGATTAAAGGTGTGCGCCATCACACCTGACTAATGTGTGTTTCTTTACAGACCTCTGCCCTATGTAATTGATGGAGAACAGCGATTACAGTAGAAATAGTACTCCCCCCCACCCCTGTAGCTTTTATTTATGTATAATGTGTATGTGTGCCAGTGTATGGATCAGGCTTGTATATTAGCATATGAGCTCATAATGTATCAAACACTTTTACAACCCTTCCTGCTGGAGCTCGTCTTCAGACGTGCCTGGTTTCTCACGTCTTACGGTTGTCTTGGTTTATCAGGAATCTTGACAACTCCATCCCAACTATTTGGTTCCTGATGCCATTGATGCTGCCCAAACCTGGGATCTATTACTTCCCCTGGGAAGTCAGTGATGGCCAAGTTCCTGACGGAAGCACACTTCGAACATTTGGCAGGTAAGAATGGTCATCTCTTCACGAGGCAGGCGTGATTAAATAGCTCCCCTCCAAAGAAACTCAGTTAAAATGGTCTTAATACAATGTTGTCTAATTACAAACTCTCACTGTCCTGGAATGAGCCATCTAGATCAGGCTGACCTTAAACTCACAGAGATCTGCCTGCCTCTGCTTCCCGAGTACTGGGACTAAAGGTGTGCACCGCCATACCTGACTGTATTTTTGTTTTAATACAGATAACCCACAAAGGAGTAAAGAAAGCAAAAATCGCATATGATACCATTGTCCAGACAACCACTGATAAGTTTTTTGACCTCTCTCTAATTTCTCATGTGTATGTATGGGAGTGATGATCTGAGTGGATGTAGCTACACACTTACATACATATATACTGTTGGTTGTATACTGTTATGCCACCCATCACCTGAGAGAAAAGAGACTCTAAGCATGGTGACACATATCTGTCACCCTAGCTTGGGAGGCTGGTGCAGGAGCATCTCAGGTTGAAGGCCTGCGTGGGAAGCTTGGCAGTGTACTGTCTCAAAGGAGAAAAGAATAAGCTGGACACGGTGGCACAGCACTTTGATGCTGAGGCAGGTGGATTTCTGTGGGTTCAGGGCCAGCCTGGTCTACATATTGAGTTCCAGACCAGCCAGGGATGCGTAGTGAGACCTTGCCTCAAAATAAAATTGACAAAATTCAAAGCAAAAGTAAGAGGATTGCCGGGCAGTCACCTCCCACCTGTAAGGCAACGGGAAACACTTATTCTGCTCTGTGGCTTATATTTTATTTCTGGATCACATTGAGGCTAATCACGGACTGCCATGTATTTGTCGGCCTCCTCTATGGAGCTTGGTGGTAGCTTGTCTGTGAGTACAAACGCTCACACTTCCTCTGCCCTCCAGGTTGTGCCTCTACGACATGACACACTCCCTTGTGACCTTGACAGCACAGCACAAATCTGACCAGTGTCAGCTTCGTGTCTGCACCAAGCTGGTGGAGCCCTTTGAGCCGCATGTGGACTTCCTGTACATGGTGCTGGGGGACCTGGAGCATGAGGAGGGTGAGCTGTGCCCTCTACAACCCCGTCACTCTGGCCCCTGAGCCAGGCCCCCTTGATGTAAACCAGTGCACTGGGCCTGGGACACACACCTGTAATCTCAGCACTCTGTGAGTTCGAGGCCAGCCTGGTCTACGTAGAGAAAAACTCTTGTCTCAAACACAAACAAAACAATAGGACTAGGAAAATGTGGGCTCAGTGGGTAAAGTGCTTGCCGTAAAAATGTGAGAACCTGAGTTCAGGTTCCCAGAACACAATGAAACTGAACAGGTGTCTGGTTCCAGTGTTCCTACAAGGGGACAGGGGGCAGAGACCAGACCGTGTATGCAGTGGTGAGCAAGAGGCCTCGCCTCAAACAGGGTGGAGATGAGGGCTGACACCCCACGCTCTCCTCTGATGTCCACACGTGTGTACACCAGCCCGCACACAAAGGAGAAAAAGAAAGAGCAGGGAGTAGATGGGCCCGTCCTGGGACCGCTGCGCTTGCTGTTGCTTACAGATCGGCCCATGGGGCCAAGGGCCCTTGGGGAACTGGTGTGACTGGACCAGCCATGTGATGCCACATCAGAAAGAGGGGCAGCCAAGAGATGCCACCATGGGGAAGTGACAAAAGGGAAGCCACATGTAGTTTGCTTGGATCTTTCCTAATATGCCCACCAGCCTTTAATCTATGTCTTATGGCTGCTTCCTGAAAGCCGAAGCTCGAGAGACTGGGCTGTAAGAACAGGCCAGGGAGTCAAGGTGAGAGAAATAAAATACAAGGGGAGGAGTAAAAACAGTCTGGGACACCCGTCTGTCTGCCATGAAGAGTTGAAGGCAAGTGTGTGTGTATGGCTAAGTGGTAGATACCCAGCATGCATCAGTCCTGGGTCTGCCAGCCCCAGCTTTAAAAAAAAAAAAAAAAATTACAAGAGTTGAGCAAGCTGAGTTCCCAGGTCATGGAGAAGGGGACAGTGACTTTCCTGTCCTCATGGAGGGGGCGCCTATCAATGTCATCCCATTGTGTGTGTGGGGGGGGTATTTCCTCGTTTTCTGTTACCATTTGCTCCCCTAACGGTGTTATCAAAGGAATGTTGTGTTCTTCTTAGAGAATTTAAAAAGAAACAGGAGCTGGGGTGGGATGTAGCTCGCTCGGTATGGACCCCTTGCCGGTGTGTGTAAGGCCTTGCTTCGTCACCAATAGTGCAGAGATGGACGGAGGGAAGAAGAAACAGGAAAAGGTGGCTTTTAACCCTGCCAGAGGCGGTTATCGTTGCTTACCTCGCACATCGCCCCTCTAGGCCTTCCCACTTTTGTTAGAGGAAATGTCTCATTATACTGAACTGTCTGGTTCCACCCTGAGTTCTACTGACTCTCTTTGCCTAGGCCTTGTGGGTAATTGGCCCTGCAGGGAGTGTGATGCCAGACCTGACTTGTGTAGTCAGTAGTCCGTCCGTCTGTCCACCTAGTCTCTCTTGGCAAGCAGTAGGAGCTTTATTTCAATAGCCAGTATAGGGGCAGGGGAGACGAGTTATCAGTTAAGAGTACTTGTTCTTGCAGAGGACCCCAACTCAATTCTCAGTATCCCCATGGAGCCTCACAGCCCTCGATAGCACCAGCTCGGGAGATCTGACATCCTCATTTGCCGTTCATGGGTACCACATGAATGTGGCGCACAAACATACATGCAGGCAAAACACCCGTATACATAGAATAATAAAGTAAATAAATGTTTAGAAAATTCTAAGTGAGACAGTACAGGACTCGCTGCCCGGGAGCAGTAGGCAGCTGTGCCTGGAGTGTTCAGGTGTCTACAGAATGGTTTCTCTTTCTTGCCATTTACCTTTGTATGGCCGATATCACGCTGTACTTTATGTGTGTGTTGGGTTTTCTTTAAGTTTTTAAAAGCCATTTAATATTTGTTAGTGTGTGTGTGTGTGTGTGTGTTGTTGTTGTTGTTGTTGATGATACTGTTTTGAGACAGAGTCTTATGTATCCTGGGCTGGCCTCAAATTAGCTGTACAGCCAAGGCTGGCCTTAAACTTGTGTTTGGAGCTGGAAGGATGGCTCAGCAGTTAAGAGTGTTTGTCATTCCTGCAGATGACCATGGCTATCATGATAGATGCAACTCTCCAGTTTCAGGGCATGTGGCATGCTTGTCTGATCTCCGTAGGCACAAGGCTTGCATGTGACACACAGACATACATACAAACACTCATACACATAACATAAATATATCTAAAAGCAAAAACAAAACTCATTGTCCTCCTGCCTCAGCCTCCTCATGCTGGGGTGACATGCATGTACCACCAGGCCCAGCTATGAAATGAAACCTTTTCTTTGGGACAGAGAATCTCACTATGTAGCCCAGGCTGGCCTTGAATTTGTGATCTTCCGGCCTCTGCTTCCTGAGTACTAGGATTTCATACCCGGGGAACCACAGCCAGCTAAATTTTTAGACTTTTCTTAGCATTTTAGAAATTAATTTATCAAATTGGGTATTTATTTATTTTGAGACAGGATATTATTCCATATCTCAGAGTGACTGGAATTTATTACATTGTAGGCCAGGCTGACTTTGAACCCCCAACAGGCCTTCTGCCTTAGCCTCCCACATGCTAGGATTTTAGACCTGTGCCAGTGTACCTGGCCTGCCTTATCTTTTTATTGTTTGTGTTTTGAGATAGGTCTGTGTAACCCAGGCTTTCCTGGAATATGTAGATCAGCTGGCCTGTGGCCTAATTCTGATCATCATACTTGATCATTCTGACTCATCCGGAAGAATCAAGATTAGCAGTATGGACGGCTATGCTTAGTACACTTATGTCTCTTACTTTATACTTTCAAAACTCCATGGGCTGGAGAGATGGCTCACAAATACTTTCCGACTTCAGCTCCTCTTCTGAAACTCTGCAGTCACCCACGTTCATTCACACTCGTGTGCACACACACAAACACAATTAGAAATCAAAACCTTGTTTCAAAAATCCATGGTGGCTTATAACTCTGGATGAAATACATTAATTAAATTCACCTGTCAAAGGCTGGTCTTAATTATATTGGATTTAGGAAACATTCATCTCCCTCAGATTTAAGATTTGAAGGTCAGAGTTCCTGCCCTCATAATTGCTGTGGGAGAGAACGAGAGGAGGTACAAAGGGCCTTTTATCGCTCAAAGAACAAAGCTGCTTATTTCTCATATGTGTGCACACTCTCTCGTTTGCCCCAGCGTGAATAAATGCGCTGGCACGGCTCTCAGGCCAGCTCTCCGGCTCCTGTTTGACTTCTTTCCCTTAGAGCTTTTCCTCCATTTTTCTGAGTGTTTCGCATATGCCGATCTGATCTGGAGTGAAGAATTAAAGATGGGGCAGTGGGTGGAGCCCTGTGTAGGCTGATCCGGGCCTTGTCTGTCCCGCCCTCTCACCTGGGCAGAGGGTAGACTTGAGCTTTCAACCCTCCTGAGCCTGCTGCAAGTCCTCTTGGGGCAAAGGTCCATGAATGTGTGTTGTTCGCTGTGTCCAGGTTGAAAGCCCTGGGATCAAAGGAGAGGTTAGTTAGAGGGACTTTTTTAACTTTTCATGTAGAAACCAGCCATGGGATGAGTGTGAAATAGTGTCAGCAGTGTGCTCAACTGCTAAGGTGTGGCACCTCCCAGCACCACCGGGTCCTGAGGGTTTCCTGCCTGGATGTGAGGCGTTTCTGACCACCTTCCCCCAGTCTGAGTCTCTGCTTTGTAATTAGTAATGATCACACTTTGTAAAAGCCTCACTGGCTGGAACAATTGTCACTTCACAAATCTCATTTCTTTTAAAAACTATTGTGAAGCTAGGAGGTGGCCCACGCCTTTGATCCTGGCACTCACAAGGTAGAGACAGGAGGATCTCTGTGAGTTCCAGACCAGCCTGGCCTACAAGCAAGTTCCAGTACAAGCTCCAAAGCAACAGAGAAATCCTGTCTGGGAAAACCAAAAAAAAAAAAAAAAGTTTAATTGACACATGGTGATTGTATATGCAGAACACAAAGTAACATTTCAGTTCTTGTCCTGTGTGTGTGTGTGTGTGTGTGTGTGTGTGTGTGTGTGTGTGTGTGTGTGTTAGAAATACTCAAAAATCCTCTCCACTATTTGTTGGCAACAAGTAGGCCTGGTGGTGCAGGATTGTAACCCTAACTACCTAGGAAGTTCAAGGCTTGCAGAGTGAGTTCAAGACCAGCCTGGGCATCTTGGTAAGGTCATGCCTCAAAAAATTAAAAACAGGAAGAGAAAGAAAGCTGGGAAGGGGGACACAAAGGCAGGGAACTTTTCTAAGCCCAGGGAGAGTTAAATGTTTGGTAAATGCTGGATAACTGTCACAGAGCCTGGGGCTAGGCCAGCCAGGACAATTTCCAGGCGGTGGAGGGAAGCTGCTGGGTGAGATGGAAGACTTTCAAGTCTGTGTGTTTCAGGAACCCGCAGAGGGTCTGTGGTCCTCACTCGCCAGTGGGTGTGGCCAGGGAGGGGGGAGACTGGGGTGCATCAGGCAGGGAGCTGGGAAAGCAATGGCTGGTCCCTACAATGCCAGGAAAATGGTTGGAAGGTGCTTAGGGCCAGCTGAGGGGACAGGGAGGGTGAGAGGAAATCCAGGGGCCCTGAGGTCCTGTCGGGGCTTGAGTGGGGTGCACTGGGAGTGAAGGGACAGGTAAGTTCTGAGGAGAACTGCCGCAGAGGCGATGATTCCGGGGCAGCCAGTCCAGGGTGCGGGTGGGTGAGGGAGGTAGAAGTGGAGCAGAGGTGAATGGTGGTGTAACTGGTTATCAGTGGGAAGGAGGACACAGGCGTGCAATGTGAAAGCCAACAGTGGGTGAACCCTGGACTCACCTCCCGCTTAGTGGCTGGGGGGAGGGGGAGGGACAGTGGGGGGAGGAGGAGGGAGGAGTATGTGTGGGGAGGGGGAGGGTGGGGAGGGGCAGTGGGGGGAGGGAGGAGAGGCTATGGGAGGTCCCACTTGTCTAAACTGTGTAAGCTTCTAGCCAAGTCAACCCCAAAAAGCTAGGAGCATTATAAAGACTCTGGAAGAGAGACAATATGCCAGAGGGTGTAAAAGAAAGGGCACAGGACATAGGAGTGTGTGAGGTACACATGCCAGCCCTCGAGCTCCACACAACAGGGCAGCCATGGCACTTGACAATTGCGTGTGCTGGGACTTGAACCATGGGCCTCCTGCATGTTAGGTAAGTGGTTATGTTTTCAGTATCCTTAGATGGTCTCTACTGTACAGTAGACTGCCCTCAAACTAGCTATGTATTGAAGGATGACCTTGAACTCCTGATCCTCTACCTCCCGAGTGCTGGGACTCAAACCCTCGGCTGAGTGGGTGCTGGCAGGTTCTACGCCAGCTGACCTACATCTCAGCTCTTCCCTTCCTTCCGGACACTTATTTTGTTTTTAAGTGTGTGTCTCTTTCTGCTGCATATATGCAGGTATCCGTAGAAACTAGAGGCCTTGGATTGCCCTGCAGCTGGAGTTGCATGGTTGTGAGAACTGGATGTGGGTGCTGGGAACTGAACTCGGGTCCTCTGCAAGCGTCTCTCTCTTTTTTGTTGTTTTCAGTGTACATTTTGGCAGTGCTGAAGATCAAACCCAGGCCCTGCACACACTAGACAAGCGCTCTGTTTATTGTTTGAGGTGGGGTTTTCGTTCAGCCACACCTTCCCAAGAGCACAAGTCTAGGCAAGCCCCATCCGGCCCAGTTTTCCTCAGCTGGTATTTATTCCTCCTATCCGAAACAAGCTGAAGCACCTGGACTGCCAGGCGATCGAACCAGTGAGAAGCCGCTGTTCTGTGGGTCACTTACTCTGCTAAATGCAGTGAAGTGTTGCCCAAGCATACAATAAACGATAAAGCCAACTAAATAACTTAAACTTAAAAGTAGGACAGCTGGCTCAGCAGTGGAGAGTGCTCTATGCCCTTCCAGAGTAATCTGCATCAGCAATTCACAGCCACCTGTACCTTCAACTCCAGGGGAGCAGATATTCTCTTTGGGCCTTCATAGGCTCCTGCACTCATGTACAGGAGCACACACACATACACACTCAGATACACACATATACACACACACACTCAGATACACACATACACACACACACTCAGATACACACACACACACACTCAGATACACACACACACACTCAGATACACACACACAGATACATACACACACTCAGATACACACATATACACACACACACTCAGATACACACATACATACACTCAGATACACACATATACACACTCAGATACACACACACACACTCAGATACACACATATACACACACACACAGAGATACATACACACACACCTAATTTAAGTTAACTCCTCTAAATAACATAAACAAACATTTTAAGATTCTGTGAAATTTAAGCAGATTTCTAAGAAAATCTTCACTCCAGAAGTTTGGGAACATTTTATTGAGTAAATATCTCACTACAACATTTGACATAGAGGTTTAGGATCTCCCATCCCTCATTCCAGAAACTCCCCTATGACATTCACAACCAAATCATCACCTCCCTCGAGCTAAGGAAGGGCTGGCCCTCAACAAACCCCTTCCATACCCTCCGTTTTTGCTTTGATTCATTTTTTTTTTCCAGAAAGGCTGTCTCTATCTGTGTAGCCTTGGCTGTCCTGGAGCTCGCTCTGTAGACCAGACTGGCCTCAAACTCACAGAGATCTGCCTGCCTCTGGCTCTGCCTGCCAAGTGCTGGGATTAAAGGTGTGCGCCACCAGCGCCTGGCTGTTTTGTTTTTAGTTACTTATTGTTAGTGTGTGTATGTGTGAGTACAGGTTGCAGAAGCCAGATCTGGAGTTAGAGATGTTTATGGGCGCTAGGAATAGAACTCGGGTCCCTCAGAAGAAGAGCAACTGCTCTTAACCACTGAGCCATCCCTCCAGTCCCCCAACTCTCCATTTTGACACTGTGAACATCTGATTCTGTTCTTGATCTTTCCAGTCCAACCAACTCTTTAGAGCTAAGTGTGTCCCCGGGGTTCTTGGAGTGGTCTGACGTGTGTAGATACCCCTTCTTGAGGCCTCCAGGAGCAATACCATCTCTGCAGGCTCAGACAAGTCCATTGTCCATGGGCGACCTGTGCAAGTGGCTGGAACCTGGATAGCTTGATGATGAGGTCTGCCCCCAGACTGACTTCAATAGGTGAATGGGCCTGGATTAGAACAGTCAGGCTAGACTTAAGCCAGGAAACTCTTATCTCAAATCATCAAAAATAGAACATTGAGCTATTTACTAAAGTTCCTGGGAAGCAGTGAGAACGAGGGAGTTTTTCCTAAGCCAGGCATGGTGACTGCACCTGTAATCCCAGCGCGTGGGAGGTAGAGGCTGGGGATCACGTGTTCAGGGTGCCCTAGGACATATAGCAAATTCCAGGGCAGCCTGCACTATACTGACGCCTGTCTGAAAGTAAACAGGGGCCGGAGAGATGGCTCAGAGATTCAGAGCACTGACTGCCTTTGCCGAGGACCTTGGTTCCCATCCCAGCACTCACATGGGGGCTCAGAACCATATGTAAGTCCAGTTCTAGAGGATTCGATGCCCTCTTCTGCCATCTGGGGGGCACCAGGAACACACATGGTACAGTTACCTGCATGCAGGCAAAATATCTGTGCACATACACTAACTGTGAACATAAATAACTAAATATAGGGGCTGGAAAAGATGGCTCAATGGTTAAGAGCACTTGCTGCTCTTCCAGAGGACCTGGGTCTGGTCCCCAGCCCCCACAGTGTCTCACAAATGTCTGTAACTCTAATTTCAGGGGATCCAATACCCTCTTCTGCTCTCTCAGGGTACTGCAGGCCCACTGTGCACCTACATACATGTAGGCAAATAGTCATCCACATAACATAAACATATTTTTTTTTACTTTCCAGGCAGGGTTTCTCCGTGTAGCCCTGGCTGTCCTGGAATTGGCTCTGTAGACCAGGCTGGCCTTGAATTTATGGAGATCCGAGTGCCTCTGCCTTCCGAGTGCTAGGATTAAAGGCATGGGCCGCCATCACTTCCACTACCACCACCACGAAGCAAACACATCAATATTTTTAAAATAAAAAAAATCTAAACATCTATAGTGGACACCCTAATCAATATCGCTCCTGTTTGATATTCCAGGGACATTGACATTATATATCAGGCCACCGCCTACATCTGCTAGCCGGCCCTCAACCACCTTTTCCAGGGTGGGGTAACTTACCCCTATAACACCAACCTTGCTTGGAGCTCAGTCCCTTGGACTTATCAAACACGGTTTCTCTTCACTCCAATTTTTTTGTTTTGTTTTGTTTTGTTTTGTTTTGTTTTGAGACAGCGTTTCTCTGTGTAGCTTTGGAGCCTGTCCTGGAACTCGCTCTGTAGACCAGGCTGGTCTTGAACTCTCAGTCTTTGCCTCCCAGGTTCTGGGATTAAAGGCATATCCCACCCCTTCTAGCCACTCCAGTTTTCAATGACACTGGCCCCAGGGTGCCAAGGAATGCTTTCCCTCAGAGCAGTGTTCCCACAGTGCAGGGCTCGGAGTGTGGAGGTTCAACTTCCTGCTTCCTGACATGCAGTTCAGGGCCTCCTAGAGACAAAGTTGCCAGCCTTCCTAGTGCCAGTCAGGGATCACCCAGAAGCAAGCATCCTACAGCCCCTCCAGGAAGTCACTGCTAACGCCTCGGGGCCTGTCTTCCAGATGGAGGTTCTGTGGTGAAGGCCCGACTGCTCACCTGTGTGGAGGGGATGGATCTATCCTTGTTGGAAAAAGCCATCTTGGAGCAGAGGCTGTACCTGCAAAAGAGGCAGCAGCCAATAGGAGTCACCGGCACATGGCCAACCCCTCCACGTGCTCCTCATTTCCAGTAACAGTCTGCATCTGGAACCACAAAGTGCTGGCGGGGGTGGGGGTGGGGATGTGGGGAGACGCCCCTTCCCTGGACTCTGGACTGACCTGTAAATGAAAGCCTACCTGGAGCCAGCCATGATGGCCCATGCCTGTAATCCCAGAGATGGAGAGGCAGAGTCGGCGGGATGCGGAGTTTAAGGCCAATCTGAGCTACATGAGACCCTCTCTCTGAAATATATATGTGACACCCCACCCCAAGGCCCTGGGGCTGAGGCTTGAGAAAGACACGAAGGGTCCCTCATTGTCCTCATGAATAAAGAGTATGAGCTGCTACTGTGTGCACGGTGCAGAGCCGGCTGCAGCCAGCAGGGGCCAGCAGGGGGAGCCATTGCAGACAGCTTGCCTGACAGAAAAGCTGCAGCCTGCTGAGGACTTCTGGTGACTTCTGAGCTGGGAGGCTGAGGGGAAGGATGCTAGGGGTCCAGGGGCAGGGCTAGGGGTCCAGGGGCAGGGCTGGGGGGTTCAAGAAGCAAAGGGGTCACCCCTGCAGAGGTGCTGAGGTGATGGAAGCCAAGAACTGACGACAAGCCGAGCGGGGGCCCTGGGTCCTGATGTGTGGCTTCAGACGCCTTGGCCAACTCCTAACCGCTGCTTCATGCTGTTACCCTCCCCTGCACATCCTTTCTAAGTAGATTCTTGTGGCCCGGGAACATGGGTGTACAGGGACCGAGTCAGGGGCTGAGGCAGAAGTTTGGACTCTCCTGCACTCCGTAGCAGAAGTAGGAGAAGAAGCCTGGAGCTGGGTTGAGCTGGGCTGGGCAAGAAGCAGCCCTCAGCCTTGAACCATCTTCCTGAGCAGGCTGGGTGGCAGGCGGTGCCTGGCGACAGCCGGGCCTGGGCGGGGGCTGGGCAGGGTGTTATGTGCAGACTGGAGTCCAGCTCCGTGTGGGATTTAAATGTCCAGATGCGGTCTGTTTCCCGGGCAGCTCTACAGCCATGGATTCATTCCAGAAGGTTGAGAAGATCGGAGAGGGCACCTATGGGGTGGTCTATAAGGCCAAGAACAAAGAGACTGGGCAGCTTGTGGCCCTCAAGAAGATCAGGCTGGATGCGTGAGTATCAGGGCTCGCCCCAGGGCCATCTGTCTCCCATGGGAATACCAAAACCTGTCCTCGTCTCCTGGGCTTGCATCCAACCTCTATGGTAGCCTCAAAGGTGCAGCCACCCCTCTGCCTTCTCACTAGCCTTTGCCCTGGGTCCTGGGTCCAGCCCTGTGGAGCTTGGTGGGTGCAAAGTGTGCTGTGGAGCACGGGTACCCCTCTTGGACAGACCTCCTGTGCCGCCGAAGCGGGGAATGCTATAGTGGAACACACACGCATGCACACGCATGCACGCGCACATACATACACACAAACACGCACATGCACATGGACACACACACACAGGCACACCACACTGGCCAGAAGTGACTGCTTGTGCCCACTGGTATTTCATCTTTCCAACAGGGAGACTGAAGGGGTTCCCAGCACCGCCATCAGGGAGATCTCCCTGCTCAAAGAACTGAAGCACCCCAATATCGTCCAGTGAGCTGGGAAAGGAAGGGGGTGGTGGGGTCCTGAATGGCACGTTCTGAGCCCGACCCCTCCCTGCCTGCCAGACTGCTGGATGTGGCTCACAGGGAGAAGAAGCTCTACCTGGTGTTCGAGCTCCTCACTCAGGACCTGAAGAAGTACATGGACTCCACCCCCACCTCACAGCTGCCCCTGCACGTAGTCAAGGTGCCCAGGGGAAAGCAAGAGGGCAAGGCCCCCCCCCATCCCCGCCACCGTCTGTGTAACGAACGGCTCTTTCTCGTGGTCGTTCCCACAGAGCTACCTCTCCCAGCTGCTGCAAGGCCTGAATTTCTGCCACTGCCATCGTGTCATCCACCGAGATCTGAAGCCTCAGAACCTGCTCATCGATGAGTTTGGAGCCATCAAGCTGGCCGACTTTGGACTGGCTCGAGCCTTCGGGGTCCCCATGCGCACCTACACCCACGAGGTAGTGGGGTGGGGGTGGGAGGGGCGGCCAGATGATGTCATCAGTGGGTCCAGCCACCATGCTGCTGTTTCTTGTCCCCACAGGTGGTGACACTGTGGTACCGTGCTCCTGAGATCCTCTTGGGCAGCAAATTTTATTCAACCGCTGTGGATGTCTGGAGCACTGGGTGCATCTTTGCAGAAATGGTAGGAGGGGACAAGCTGGGCTAGGGGCATTCCTCAGTGGCAGAGTGATCCCCTAAGTTGGGGAAGGCTCTGGGTTCAGTTCCCAAGACTGCAACCAAAAACCTCAGTTTTTGAGCCAGTGGCCAGGACGATGGCTTAATGGATAATAATAGTACTTGCCACCCAGACTGACAACTTGAGTTTTATCCCTAAAAAGAAACCCTGTCTGGAAAACAAAAAAAAAAAAACAACAACAAAAACCCACCAAGGGCGAAGAATGAAGCTCAGTGGTAGAGCGCTTGCCTACCATAAAAGACGAGATAAGGGAGGGGAGGGGCGCACAGAGACAGGAAGGTTCCAGAGCCAGGACCACATGCATGTGGCTAGTATGTTTACTAGAGGAGGGTTGAGGGGTGTCTGTCGCTGGCTGGGGAAGCAAGTCTTGATCCTGGAAAGATTAGAAAGTTAACATAGCCCTGGGAAAGATATCTTTTGTTCTTATTGTTTGTTTTGAGACAGAGTTTTCACTGTGTAACCCTGGCTGTCCTGGAACTCACCCTGTAGACCAGGCTGGCCTCGAACTTACAGAGATGCGCCTGCCTCTGCCTCCCTCCTGAGTGCTGGGATTAAAGGCATGCGCGCCACCACTGCCCAGCCTGGGAGAGATATCCCTTCCTGTGTCTTTCGGCCTAGCCAATGTGGGACTGTGTCACAAGTGTCACAGAGAACACACACACCCGCCTCTTGCTCCAGGTGACCGGCAAACCTCTGTTTCCGGGTGACTCGGAGATTGACCAGCTCTTTCGAATCTTTCGTACCCTGGGGACCCCCAGTGAAGCTATATGGCCAGGAGTCTCCCGGATGCCCGATTTTCAGAGCAGCTTTCCCAGATGGACCAGGAAGGGGCTGGAGGAGATCGTGCCTAGTCTGGGACCCGAAGGCAAGGACCTGCTGCTGGTAGGTACACGTGGACAAGAACAGCACCCCAGAAGCCGCTGCCGCCGCAGAGTGCCCTCTTACAGAACTGAGTCCGGGCTGGACTCTTCTGACTTTTGTGCACGCTTGGCTTGTGCGTGTATTTGGTCAGGAGCCTCTCTGCTGACATCCAATGTCCATCTCCCCTTTTGAAACTTCTCTGAAGTAGTTTTGGTTTTTTTGGTCATGGCTGTTGTCCCCTTTCCCTAATTGCCTTGTGGGCTGGCTTCCTGCCCCGCCTAGAGAGAGCACTTCCCTGGGCAGAGGCCACACCTGCCCCTGCCTCAGTGTCCCCCAGTCAGGGTTTCCCAGAGGTTGGTCTTCACAAAGGACTGGCTGTGCGGAACAGGCCGTCCGCTACCTTCTGGACTCCTATCAGCCGCTTACAGGGCCTCAGATAAAGCCGGCCCTGTTTGCCCACAAAGTCTGCAATCCCCATTTCTATCTTTACCCTAGTGGGCCAGGGGAGGCAGGGCAGGACTCTGTTGAGGTCATGGTCAGGTCACCAGAGGTCTATGTGTTGTCTACCAACATAACGCCAGCAGGACGGCACGCACATCATGCTGAGGCCCCTTGTCCTTCATCTGCTGCTCCGTGCCATCCTGCCTGGGTAATGTACCTGAGCACAGAGAGCTGGAAGGCCCAGCCTCTTGGTTGTGTTAGTCCCTCCTGCAGCCAGTTCATTGTCTCACCTGAACCGCCCCAAGCTTACATTCTTTGGACAGGTTTAGGGACTGCTGCCTAACATGAAGCATACCTGTTCCCAGCCAGAAGCAGGTGGGACCTGGATGAATCATACATAGGCCTGGAGCCCAAACTGATGGTTGAACCTGCTCTGGGAGTGTCCAGAGCTGTCTGAGAAGCACATGGGCTTAGCCGGTGACTCGGTGGCTAACGTGCTTGTCGTGCAAACATGAGGGCCTCACTTCAGATCTCCAGAACCCACACAAGGCCGGCCGCAGGGCTGGGGTTGGCTCAGTGGGCAAAGCTCTTGAGGCACAGTCGTGGGCATCTAAGAAGCCACCCAAAGCTGGACACAGGAGCGGGAATCTGTAACCCCAGAGCCCCCAGGGCGGGATGGATGGGGGCCTGAGACGGGAACATCCCTGGCATGCACAAGCCAGCTAGCCTGGTGTATGCAATGCAGAGAAGAGCAAGACCTTGTCTTGGGCCCAGCGTGGCGGCTGTTCTTGCAGAGTTCTGTTCCCGCACCCACACCAAGCGGCCCGTAGTCAACTGTAACTGTGGTTCCAGGGGACATGATGCCTCGGGCCTCCATGGGTGCTGCTCCCATGTGCACATACACAGACAAGCACTGGGAGGCACACAGACAGCGAGGAGGCAGTGGCTTCACAAAGTTCTGGGTTTGGGCACGGCTCAGGGACTCGGCCCTCCCACTGGGTCCCGTGAAGGGAGCGCCTCTCTCCACCCTGGTAGCATCCAGGTTCATGCCTGTCTTTCCTCCTCAGCACTTCCTGCAGTATGACCCCAGCCAGCGGATCTCAGCCAAGACGGCCCTGGCCCATCCCTACTTCTCTGCCGAGCACTCCCTAGCAACCCGCCACCGCCGCCGTTGCCTGGAGCATTTCTAAAACTGAGACCATGTCTGTGGGGCCCACCGCCTCGTGCCCTCTGCAGCCAACTCCCACCCATTCCCAATAGAGCATGTCTGGGGAGAGAATACACCTCTGTGGAATTTTACATCGGTCATCAGAAGACTAGGCTTGGCACTGGACATGGGGGGGGTTGGCTGTTAACTAGCACTGCTCCCCCCCCACCCTTCCCCTTCACTGGTGTAAGCTGCAGATGCGGGCTCGACGACAGGACGCCCTCTGCAGGCCTTGATTTTTGTTTCAGCTGTTTGTGGGGACTCAAGTGGGAGGTGGGATGGGACACTGGTCAGGACACTTGAGGGTGTTCTAAGGAGAAGTCACATCGTTACAGAGGCTGTGGATGTCCTGTGTGACAGATGGGAAATAAATGTAACTTGTTCCTGGCCTCTCGGGTGTCGTTCTGCTTGCCAACGAAGGGGAGGTGGACCGAGGGCTGGAGACGGTTCTGACAGGAATGGAGGGACCAAGGGTCTTCCATGGTCTCTTCTCCTGACGGCCCATCAGGCCGTGAGGAGGTTGAGTTGAACACATCTGCCCCACCTAACACATACTTCCGGGGAAAAATTCCCAAGCAGTGCTGCTCCTGAGTTCACACCCTAAACACACCAACCCTCTGTACACAGATGAGAACTAGACACGGCATTATAGAATTCGTTTATTAGAAGCGTGGGGCGGGGTGGGGGTTGGGAGGGACAACGGAGCTCCCCGAGTTTGGGGACAGAGCCCAGCACCACAAATGTTTGAGCCGTAAGAGGTGGATGGACAGAAGGGGGAACCACCCCCTGGGATTATGCTGCTCCAGGGTAAAGGGATGCACACGCCCTCCCTTCGCCTCTGCATAGCCCTCATTAACGCACGCAGGAGCGCAGGGTTGGGGAGGCTGCACGGTAGCATCGATAACCTTCCAGCACAGCCGGGAGTAGCAGCAGGCCACTTAGAGGGTCTTTGCGGCAACGCCCCATGGCCTCCTTGTAGCTCAGCCGCTCCTTGGTGATGGGGTCTGTCAAATCCTTCTCATAGGCCGCTTCATCTTGCAGAAGCTGGCCCATGTCTTCACTGATCATCCCGCAGAGCACAGCCTGAGGGACAGGGATGCGTCCCGTCCTCTTGGGGTCAATGAGGCCGCCGGTCAGGTGCTGTACCAGCAAGTGTGGGAGAACGCTTTCCTGGGGCATCCAGCCCTTCTGGGTGGCCTCACCTACTGACAGCCGCTTCTTGGTGACTGGGTCCTCGATGCCAGTGAAGGCCTTCTGAGCATTGAGCAACCGTTGCGTGGAGGTGTTCTCAATGAGTCCCCGCTCCACCGCCTTGAGCACGGAGTGTCGCTCTCGGCTGAGGAGGTCCACGATGCCGCCTGTGGCTGCCTGGGCCTCCAGCAGCTTCTGCCCAGTGATGGGGTCCAGCATGTTCTTGGCCACGGCTGCCTTGATGCTGCACTTGCTTTCCGTGGTTGTGTCATAAACCCCAGCGATGGGGAAGCAATCCTCAGTGAGCCCGAAAGAGAGGCCTGGGGAGCCGAGACTGGTACTCTGAGGGCCTGGGGAGCAGGCTGGGGACTTGGAGATGATGGACCCGATGGACAGTGAGGAACAGGGCTTGGTCTCCCCCGCCACAAGCAGGGCAAACTCGGAGATGGGGAGGCGGCCTTCCTTGTACCTGTGGTATTCCTCCTTGGAGATGCGACGGCAGCGGAGGGCAGCCTCAATGGAGTATTGCTTCCCGCTCTTGCGGTCCAAGAGCACAGACTCCTCCCCACAGGGGCTGGAGGTGGTTATTTCTTCCCAATCGCACTCAAGCTCCTGCAGCTGGAGGTACTGGCCCCTGTCGATAATACCCCTCTTGTAGGCCTCGTAGGGAGACATGTCATTCCCCGTCTCCGGTTCCAAGATGCAGATCTTGGTGGAAAGGTTGGTCTCCCGGGTCTGGGTTTCCTGGCTGAGCTCCTCCCGGCTCACCTTGGTGTGCAGGTCCCTGAGGGTCCTCTCCTTCTCGTAGATCTTGTCCTTTTCGTGGAGAATGGCCGCCTCGAGTTGCGAGAGGGCCTGGCCACGCTGGGCTGCCTTCTGGCGCTCGCTCTCCGTCTTCTGGCTCAGTAGCCTCCCCTCCTCCTGCAGCTGCTGGGCCTTCTGCAGCTTCTGCCGCTGCAGCTCTCGCAGCTCTTGCTGTAGCCGCCCACAGTCCTGGCTCGCCTGGTCCCGGGCCTTCTGGAGTTCGGCCTCCTCGCGGGACCAGGACCTCCTCAGAGCCTCAGCGCGGTCAATCCGCTCCCGCAAGCTCCGGACCTCCTCCTCCCGGGCCTGGCGGGCTGTGCGCTCCCGACTGAGGGTCTCCCACACGCGGGCCCTCTCACCCTCCAGCACGGGGTCTTTCTCCACCCGGATCACTTCCTTGTAGATGGTCTTCTCCTGCGATTTCGTTTTCTGGAGGAGGTCAACCTGCACCTGCAGGCCCTTGCACTCATGGTGCAGCTCCATCACCCGGCCCTTCTCCTGGTCCAGCTCCCGCCGCAGGGCCTCTGTAGACCTCTCCAGATCTGGGTCTTTCTCTAACTTGACCACTTCCTCCATGATGATCTTCTCCTGCAGGGCGGCAGGCCGCTTCTCCAGCTCCTGGATCTTCAGGGTCAGCTGCCGCAGCTCCTTCTCGGCAGCCAGCTTCTTGCCGCGGTCCTCCTGGAAGCTGAGCAGAGCCTCCTTCTCCTCCACGCTGGCCCTCAGCTGCCGCACCTCCAGTTCCAGCTGCCGTCGCCGCCCGACTTCCTCATCCAAGCTCTGGCTCAGCCGGCCGTGCTCCTCATGCAGCTTCGGGTCCTTCTGGGTGACCACCACCTCCTGCACTACGATCTGCTCCTCCGGCCGCCGCCTCTCAAGCAGCAGGTACTTGTTCTGCAGCTCATAGACCACATCCTCCGCCGCTCGCCTCTTCTGGACCGCCTCCCGCACCTCCTGCCGGAGCCTGTCGGCCTCTTTCTCCAGCACCGGGTCCTTCTCCTGCCGCACGACTTCTTTGCTCACCATCTTGGTCTCCACCTTGGACCGTTCCCGCTTCCACTCGTCGCGCTCGCCCTGCAGCCGGATGAGCTGCTCCTGGCAGCGCCCGCTGGCGTTGACCAGCTCATTGAGCTGAGCCTTGAGGCGGTCGACCTCACGGAGCACCTCTGGGCTCTTCTCGTGCCTCACCACCTCCTGAGTCACCTCCTTGTATTCCACCACAGGCTTCTGAGCCCGCAGCGCCTGCAGCTCAGGCAGCAGGGTTCCCACCTCCTTTTCTAGGCTGCCCCTCTTGCTGCCTGTCTCCCGCAGCTGAGCCTGGAGCCGAGCGATCTCCCGCTCCGTCTCCGGATGCACCTGGAAGATCTCGTTGACGCGCTCCTGCAGCTGCACCTGAGGCTTTTGCTTCTCCACCACGCTGTGCCTGTCCCGCAGCTCCTGCAGTTCCCTGGCCAACACGACGTTCCTGCTCTTCTCCTCCTCCAGGAGGCTTCTCAGCCTGGAGGCTTCCTTGAGAAGGCCCGGATCCTGCTCCACTCTCTTTACCTCCTTCACAATGACCTTGGGCTCCACCGAGCTGATCACCTGCTCCAGGTCTTTGATACGAGCCTGTATCTTAGCAACCGCCTCCTTTGCCCCCTTCCTGCGGGCAGCATCTTCCTCGATCTGTAGCCGTAGAGTCTGGACGGCCTTAACCATCTCCAGATCCTTCTCGACTTTAACTACCTCCTTCACCACCACCTTCTCCTTCACGCTCACCTCCTTCTGCTCCAGGGCCAACAGTCCGTCTCTCAGTTCTTCCAGCCGGGCCACCAGGACGGTATTCTCCCCACGCAGCTGCTGCATCTCATCTTGCAGCTGGCTGGCCTGGCTGGCCAGGCCAGGGTCCCTCTCAATTTGGGTGACCTCTTTGGTCAGCAGGTGAGGCTGCATGGCCCTCCTCTTACCCTCCAAGTGGACAACCTTTTGGGCCGCCACCTCCAGCTCGGCCTGCAGGCGGGCCCGCCTCTTGCCCTCCTCCTCCATCTGGGATGACATTCTAGCCACCTCACTCTCCAGCTGGGGGTCGCGGTAGAACTCCACCACTTCCTTCTCCTGCAGCCTGGCCACAGGCCGCTGGGTCCTCAGCTCCAGCAGCTGCTGCCTCTGCTCCTCCAGCTCCCGCTGCACCTCAGCCACCCGCTTCCTCTCCTCCTCTAGCTGGGACTTCAAGGCCTCTGACTCGGCCCCCGCCTGGGCTGGGTTCCCAGATCCCTGTCTTGCTTTGTGTGTCACTCGGATGTCCTCACTAAGCTCCTGCAGTGAGAGGACAGAGAGAGAGCGCGCGCCCTGGGGTAAGCGGAGAAAAGACTGGAGCCCCACTTTTCTGTAACCCACCCCCGAAGTCAGAGGCCCCCTCCCTGCTTTCTGAGACTGTAGATCCTGGCCTTGGAGCGGAAGATGTGGGATGCTTGGACTCAGGATTTTGAGCTCAGTTAGATGCTATCTGGATACCAGTCAGGGTCTAGGCCATTTGTAGTAGATAGTTCACACAGGACCCTCCCAAGCCTCCCCCACTCATGGGCCCAACCTTCTCCAGTAGATGCTACCCTATGGCTCGGGAAGAGCAAAAAGCTGGCAAGCCACGGGAACCATAGAGAGCCCTTGGCTTCTGCTCTACCAGCAACTGAGACCCAGATGGCCTGTCACCAGTGTGACTGGACCCTACCCTGATGACTGTGGAGTGTTTCTTGGTTCTCTGGGGCTAGAGGACATGTCCCCACCAGAGGACCTGCCTATGGCTAAGCAATAACTAGAGGACATCTCCATGGCCCACCCAGAAAAGGCACCAGCTTCATGCCCAAGCCCTCCATGGGGGCTGGAGGCTGGGGGGGAGGATGCATCCAGGCCAGCACCAGGCCACGTGGGCTGTGTGGGCTGTGTGTGCACAGGGTGGGCACTGTCTCTGTACCTTCTCCAGCATCTTTTTAGCAAACTCCAGCTGGTACAGCTGCTGCTGCTGGGCTGCAGTAATCTCCGTGTAAGCCTTGGCAATGTTCTTCTCCTGGAGTTGGCAAAGTGGGGACAAAGACAGCAGAGTCAGCTCTGGCCTGAGGGACTGTAGAGCTGGTGCCAGGGGACACTAAGCCCTGCCAGGACCCGCCTCACCTGAGCCTGGACGCTCTCCTGCAGGGAAATCATTCGGACTCTCTTAGGAGCAGACACGGCCAGGGTGGGCTCCAAGGAGCAGCGGTAGGTGTCTGCTTGCAGCTCGTAGT